ACACACACACACACACACACACACACACACACACACACACACACACACACATGCGGCCCCCAGCCCACCCCCCTGTGCCAAAACCCACCTGCGTTCAGTGAATGCGCGTTCACCGCGTTCAAAACTTGAACGTGAAATGCGCGTTCAATGAACGAGCGGTAACACAGGCTGTTTCGCTGTGGGTTGGCATGGATGAGGCGGCGTGTGTGGGCAGTTTAGTTTCAAATTGGTATTATTTCGAAATGTGCGTCCACGAGGAGAGTGTCGGTGGTACGGGTGGATGGCGATAGCGCAGTCGAACGCATCGTCGGCGGGGGCGACGTCACGCGCGTGCACATGCCGATCGTAGTTCTCATGTAGTATGCTGTCACCGCGGGTGACATGTCTGTGTGATGGAGTCGAATCCGGCGGTGCATGTTCTGTTTTTCCGAAGTTGGGATTGAAGTTGCCATGAACACTACATTTTTTTCCAAAGTGTGTCGGCTTCTGCTTTTACTGCGAGTCACAACAATTTAACAACATTTCATGTCACTTGTTTCTGCTGCGTGGCTTGTCCTCTTATTTGACGGCGATTGAAACGACAATATTTGCACGACGTTGTGTGTGTCATTTCTATTGCCTTCAGTCCTTCTTACATTTGCCCCCTTACCATGACATATAGAAATTTGAATGAAACCGAAAAAAAACAAGCACCGCAAAGTTGTAGACTTCATGAATAACATTGAACAATTAGATGTTCGCTTTAAGAGATGACAACATAGATTATCCATTTCCGAAACAAAAAACAAAAAAACAAGGAAAGGTTCATGAAACACCCCTACGACAACCGATCCACCATAGCAACGACTCGCAACACGAGAACGTCCCCTCCCATGACCAATCACATACCCAGAACACCCCCTCCTATGAAACACCGGGTCCCCAACGAAGCACACCACGAATCCCACTCCCTTCCTCTACCATCTCTCCCCTCTTCCATCTCTCCCTCCCTCACCATCAACGAGCCCGTTGCGAGAACCTCCCTTCCCGCCACATCCACGACCATCCCACGTGTTGGCGAGTACACAACGTCGACTACAAAATCGGAGTGCTACCTCTGGACACTACAGCGACACGAAAGACACATGGCCGCAATAGTCGAACGGAATTGGAAATCCCCAAAACCCCATCACATATGTACACTTCGGCATGACGCGGGGTGAGCAGTCGTTGTTTTATGTGTCGTCTTCAAGCAAGTGACGGCATAGCAGCAGCGCGCGGGAGAAAACAACAAGCACCACGAACACGCACATGCAGGACGCCCCCCCCCCCCCCCCCCCCC